GTTAAAAAAATTCTATTTCCTCTTTAGGCTTATTTACATTTTTCCATTTTTAGGCAATGAATCTAGAAACTAATATTTTTGTTTGAGACTATTAATTCCTGGGGCATTCTGGGAAACAGTTTGCCTTCACTGTATCTCAAACTTTTTTCACATTAAAGTCATCTTACTGTAATATAGCTATAATCATGTAAGGATGAAATTATATTGAGGGTCACTGAGAAAGCAACACACACCTAAAATATACAGACAGATAGACAGTAAGCATCAAATCTATCCCAAGGAAAAACAGGAAAACACAGGACCCAGTAATTAACAAATTATGAAAAGGGTCTCTTAAGAAGCAGGGGAAAAATGAAGCCCTCTTTGCTCACAGGTATTTAAAATGTTGACTTATTTTGAAACATCCAAGGATTCATTTTATAAACAGGCAAATACTAGATATTAAATTTTTTTCCTTAAGTGTCATCTGAACCTCACTCCCCAAAAGAAGCTATAAAGGTGATACTTCATGAGAAGCTTTTTTTTTTTAGCTGAGCCATCCTGCCACCTATTGGCAGCTCAGCAGCAGCTCAGCTCGGGCCGGGATTCTAACCGCTGTTGCTCAGAGCTCACACTCTTGAGTGAGCTCTTAACCAAGTGAGCCACTCAGCCGGCCCTTTTAAAGGTGATATTTTAGTTGCTAAGGTCATTTAACACATCCAAAGTCCCCTCCCTGCCCCCAACTTGGAAAACTACTCATCTTTTGTAACTTAAAGGTTATACTACAAGCCAGGTGTATTCAGGTAGGCAACACAGGTGCATTTTTATATCTATTGGCTAAATATAATACCTTACAAAGAAATATCTTACCACTTGTGCTGGAACTTGTTCCATTTTTGCAGCAGGTGTTCCTGGTCTTGGGTAAAACTGGTTAATAAAGAGGCTTGGAAATTTGTACTCTTCAACAAGTTTCACTGTTTCTTGAAAATCGTGATCTGTTTCCCCAGGAAAACCACAGATAATATCTGTAGCAATAGTTATTCCAGGAACTCTAGAAAATAATGAAACAAAAATATAAAAAGTTGTCTACAATCCATAATTATTCTTTTTCCCTGACATTTGAAATACCATTGTTTCTTTTAATATGAAATTTTATTTTTAGGAAAGGGACATTTACAAATAGTTTTAAAGAGCCCTAAATACTAAAAGCTTATAAAAAGCAGTGGCCCTCTGTCATCAAGGGGCTCCCATTTTTAATTCTTTGAGTTGTTTCTTTGTTCTTCTATATTTTATGATAGATGCTTATTCTGCTATTTGTAGTTTACTGATTTTTAGACAATATTCACTGACTATTAAGGTATATGAGGATTTAGCTCTTTAAATTACTCTATCCCTCCCTTCCCTATATAATCACTGCACAATTTTTAGTTAAATTAATAGTATTTTCACTGGTATAAATGCAAAAATATTCTTCACTATGGAGCCAACTGGTATACTCTCATGAGTTTTCTTTGTCACAACACTGATTTTTTCCTAGAGTTAAGAATTGCCTCTTTTTAAAAAATTTGCTTAATATTCTAAGTCCCTATGCTAATGTTTTCCAGATGATCCATCAGATCTATGAAAAACCAATACTATTTTCTAAGCACTCAATATAGTCTATAATTCACCAGTTCCATTTCTCCCCCTGTGGAAATGCCGCTCCTACTTTCTTCAAGTGTGTGTTGCTTTCATAATGAAACAGCTGTAATCTTTAAATATTACTCCTTGATCTCCTTTCTCCTGGATCCTATGTCTTCCTAATTCTTGATTATTCTATTCTCCCCAATTCTGCTGGAGCCTTCTGTCAGAAGTGTCATCAAAAAGAGTACCAGGAAAATTTTGTTGTTTTTGTCTTAGCATGTTTGAACATGGAACAATCCATGATTGACAGTGGCTGTGCACAGCGCACCCAAATGAAAAGTATTAGCCATCAGAATTTCATATTGTTCCATGTTTTGTTTTTCTTTTAAGATTTTTTTTTTTAATTGGGGAATTGGGGAAGGGGAACAGACAAGTTGCTGTCCTTTTTGTTCTTCAGTCTAGTTGTGGAGGACGTCGCCTCACTGGCCCAAGTTGGCACCATCATTGTGCTCTTCCCAGGTGAGGCAGATCAGTCGCTGGCTTCTGGACGGCAGCTCACAGCGGCTGCTGGCCGCTCACACTGGCTGCTGGCTACACACCGTAGCCCATGGCAACCCACTGCCACAGGGGCTGCAGCCTACGCTGTCATAGATGACTCAGGGCAGCCCAGCTCCAGGTTGAGCTGTTGTTCAGCATCTTAGCTGTAGAGGGCAGTGTCACTGGCCCTCATATGTGGGATCCGAACCGGGGCCCTCTGGCGTCCCAAGCCAGCTCTTAACCAACGCGCCACTCGGCCGGCCCTGTTCCATGTTTTTTTAAAGTAGCAAGGTTGCTGATGAGATGTCCAAGTTCACTCTGACGCACACTTTTTTATACGTGCCCCACTGTCTTTTTGAAAGCTTTTAGAATATTAAAATTATTTTCAATTATTTTAAATTTTATGATAATAGGCCTTGCAGTAGGTATTTAAATCTTTGTATAAGGTACAATCTGGAGACTCATGTTCTTTAGGTCTAGAAAATTTTCTTATGTTGTTTTTAATCACTTCTTTCTCTCTCTGGGATGTCTCTTCTTTGAGTGTTGAAACTACTGAATCAACTCTCTAAGTTTTTTACTGTTATTTTCCATCTTTGTCCTTTTGTTCCATTTTCTGGAAGATTTACTTGAGTTTATCTTCCAACTCGTCTATTGAAAAAATTGAGTTGAATATCTTATTTTACATTTCTAATAGCACTCTCTCGTTCTCCAATTTTCCTTTTCACAGCACACTGATTTTGTTTTAGAGATGCAACAACTTTCCTTATATCTGAGGATATCAATAAAGTGTTTCACAATTTTTCCTCTGCTCAGGGCAATTAGTTCTGTTTCCTCCAGGTTCTTTCATTTTGGTCCCTCTCATTCATGGTTGAGATTTCCCACCAATAAATAGTGACTCTTGCTGTCCATTAATATTTAAGAGTAAAGTACTAAAAGCTTTTCATTATAGAGTGACTGGCTAACAAGCTGCATTTGTTTTTGATAAGCTCAAATGTTAGCATCTTCAAAATCATTCCTCTGTGGCCAGAGTTTCTCAAATATGCTGCAATATTCTATTGCACAAGTATATTAATAATGTAACAACAACAAAATAACATTAACAGTATCCAAAGCTCCAATATTATTCTGAATCCATGAACAGCAGGAAAAAATAGCCTCAAACATTTCAAATCACAGAATACCTATCTATATAATTTTTCTATCACCTACATGCAATGCAGTTCTATAAGAATGAATAGAATGGTGTATCTCATTAAGATATATTAAACATTTGGGAATATAGGAGAGAAGAAAGGATATAACAATGATGAAAAGTAAATGACTGGATGCCTAATACAAACAGCTTCATTAAAACAACAGCTTTCCATGCCTAGTTTGCACAATCCTTTAATTCCTGTGTGAAAGAATAACAAATTTATTTTAAAAAATATTTCTTTCTTGACTTCTTAGTCTCATTTAGCTATTAATGTGACTGAACTTTAATTAGTAAGATAAGTTATAAGGACAACTTTTCTCTATGATGATAAATAGAAAAAGACAATATGCATAGAAAAAAATAAAACAGTATATTTGAAAAAATTTTAAATTTTATTGTGATATAAAAACATTTTTTTTCATTAATGGTGATTATCAAAATTACATTTGAAAGTCATAAACACATGCCTTCACAGTAAACGAGATAAAAAGACCATTTTCTAGACTTACTAAAGCATGTGAAATAGGAAAATTATGTCAGTAACTTCAATTAGCCAATTTTTACACTTGACTTATAACTACTTCTGACCAAAAGAAATCCACAACTAAAAATAAAAGTAATGGATAACAGCAGAAATGACACAGAACAGTACATCTGCCCTAGGAAATTAAAAAAAAAAATCTTAGAAACTGCCTGTTACATACTGCAGAAACAAAGACAATTGGTTATTGTCCTAGGCTGTGAATTGGAATGAACTTGGCACTCGCTTATGGGGTATTCCCACAGGAAAGTCCCTTACTGATTTCCCCCACTCCTCAATACTTCTTGATCCAGTATAGTTGAGCTCAGTATTATGTAACACCTGCTTACTTTGGCCTCAAGGTCCACAGCAAAAAAGAAAAGACAAACCTTTGCAGGAGTCATCATAAATGTTAAAGGAAGGAAATGTTCGATGAATGGATTTAATTGATAACCTACACAAAAAGCTGACTGATAACAGGGGAGAGGACAGGGCACTCTGAACTAGTGAGAGACCTATGTGAGTCAGTATTTAAAAGTAAAAGCAGTTTAACTGGTTTCAAAGTACATAATAATATAAACTGATTGCATATAAAATGTTTTCAAAGTAGAGACTGCACTTTAATGTTTGGTGAGGCTCACTTATACATTAATTTTACATACGTAACTGATGCTATTCATGTTCTTAAAAATAATTCAGCCCCTTAAGTGAACCAACAACAACAACAAAAATCTCATATTTACAATTTTACTTTGTCTAGTAAATAATTCCCTTCAGTATCTGAGAAAATCAGAGAAGTTTGAAGTGGACCAAATTCTGAATTTACATACGATTTAAGTAGCTATGAGGAAATTATAAGGGGTATAAAATAGAATATTAATTCAAATATTTAAAATGCTAATTGTGAGTAAATGATGTTTTTGAGAAGCTATAAATTTTCAAAATGTTAAAATTAAAATAAATAATTTCTATAAATTTATTAAAGCTGTGAGTCTAATGAATATAATTACTAGGTATTATGTGTTTTAAAATTTAGAAGACCTTCCATATTTATGTTTTCATAGTAGTATTAGAGAATAATTCTGAGAGAAAGATGAAACTGAAAATGTTTATTTAGGTTAAATAACAGAAATTTTGACCCATTAAATTATCTGACTTATACAAGCTATTTGCTGGCAAAACGGGTTCATTAAATTACTAGAAATGGAATTAATGAGAAAGATTCCAATTATGCATCTGCCTTGGCAGAAGCAGTGCTGTGATCAGTTAATATAATCTATCAGGACGTGTGGGGAAAGTGCTACCTATTGGCTGGCCTTTGGCCAGCGTTTAAGAAAGCCCCCAATATTTTAAGACATACTTATTTACATTGAATAAAAATACACATATAAATATAACTGATACTATATTTGAAATACTATTAAAATATTGTACTTTAACTTATCTCAAGATTTTCACTCACAATTTGGTGTTACAGTGACAAAAATATGCAAAAGGCTGATTCTCGTTCATGCTTTAGATGAAAAAATTGTTAGCCTCAAATTCCACAGTGAAAAAAAGTGAGACTGACACGCATGCTGTTATCTCAGAAGAAAAAGATAAAAATGATCAGAAAAGGGATCAGACCTATTAAAATGATTAGGCATAAACTAAAAAACATGATTAAAAGAACCATTTTTAGTCCTATGGAGATTAATTCCAGGACAATTACTCAATAGTTCCAGGAAAAGCAAGTTGGAGGTAGGGAGGAGAAAAATATCCTGAATTGAATGAAAATAAATATATCTAAATATATGGGAAGCTGCTGAAGCAGTGCTTAAAAATAAATTTATAGGTTTAAATGTCTCTGTTAGAAAGAGGTAAACACAATAATCTAAGCTTCCACTGAAAGAAGCTAAAAAAGAGGAGCAAAGCAAACCCAAAGGAAGACAAATAGAGCAAATAATTAAGGTACAAGAAGAAGTCAACAAAATAGAAAATAGAGGGGAAAAATCAATAAAAGTAAAGGTGTATCTTTGGGGAAAAGAAAATCAACAAAATCACCAAACTACTAGCTAGACTGAAAAGAAAAAAGAAGAGACAAATGACCGACTTCAGACATGACAGAGACAGCACTACAGATGCCATCAACATTAAAAGATGTCATGAGTAACCTTATACGTGTGGGTTTATTTCT